CAAAGGAAGGGTCAGTGACAACTGTGGACAGGAGACGCGCGACAGTAGGACTAGCAGCACGAAGAGAGTCAGACTCTGGGTCAGCAGGGGCAGGAAGGGAGGACGCAGGAGGAGAAGGCAGAGGGACACGCCGTGGAGCAGTGGAAAGACGAAGCAGCATCGGGTGAGTGCCGGGGACAGCAGGAGGACGCTGACGTGGGACACGACGACTAGGGCGAGGAGCACGAACAGGTGACGCAGAACGAGACTCAGGTGACACAGGACGAGACTCAGGCTCACGACGCTCTGTAAGACCTCCTGTCGGACCAGTGTAGGGAGAAGGACCAGGAAGAGGTGAGGTGGGCTGGAACTGCGACTGTGGTCGGACAGGCGAAGGACACCCTAAGGAGGGAGCAGGACAAGGAGGAGGCGGCTGACCAAGAACCTGCCGAAGAAGCGGAACGAAGTACGGCCGCGGCCGTGACGCTCCCCCAGAACCAGCAGAGACAGCACCAGAACCTCCAGCAGTAGCTCCAGCTCCCGCAGCACCAGTAGCACCTCCAGGAGTGCCAACCCCAGGACCTCGAGTAGTACCAGCGACAGCAGCACCACCAGTCCCAGGACTAGGAGCACCAATAGGAGCTACAGCAGCTCCAGTACCCCCAGCAGCACCTCCAGCAGCTCCAGTACCTCCACCAGCACCAGCAGCACCGCCAGCAGCACCAGTACCTCCAGCAGCACCAGCAGCACCAGCAGCACCTCCAGCAGCCCCAGTACCTCTAGCAGCACCGGCAGCACCGCCCGCAGCTCCAGAACCTCCAGTAGCACCAGCAGCACCAGAAGCACCTCCAGTAGCTCCAGTACCTCTAGCAGGGGGTAACTCAAAACGAGGGGCTCCACTCCGGAGGCCGCAGCGCCGAGCGTACCACTCACGTAGTCGCTGTGGAGAGGGAGCACCAGCAGGGTCACCACCCCCAGGCTCAGCACCCCGAGGCTCAGCACCCCCAGTCGCAGCACCCCAAGGCGCAGCACCCCCAGTCACAGCACCCCCAGGCTCAGCACCCCCAGTCGCAGCACCCCCAGGCTCAGCACCCCCAGTCGCAGCACCCCCAGGCTCAGCACCCCCAGTCTCAGTGCCCCCAGGCTCAGCACCCCCAGTCTCAGTGCCCCCAGGCTCAGTACCCCGCTCTGGACCAGAGTCAACAGCTACCTCGACAGGCTCGACTGCGTCTACCTGGGAAACACCGGAGGGAGCAGGACCCTGGGGAGGGAGGGGGTCTACCGGAGGGGCACCTGGGGTGAGGAAGAGAGGCGGGGGGGGGAGAGGAGCAGTACGGTAGGGGAACAGACGGTAGAAGGGTACCGACTCGTCAAAGGTGACGTCCTGAGACGCAAAGACACGGCGCGAGGTGGGGTGGTAAAACCGCCAACCAGGTGCGTCGGGGACAAAGCCAAGGAAGACACAAGGCACAGCGCGGGCGGAGAGCTTGTCCGCAGTGGTATCACGGACAAAGGAACGAGTACCCCAGACACGGAAACGCGACGCATCGCCAACCTGCCCCGTCCACAGCAGTGTGGGCGAGGTCTCCGGAGCGGAGACACGGGGCCAGAGGTTGAGCTGATGCGCAGCGTACTGGACCGCAAACGGCCACAGAAAATGGGGGGCAGCCGCATGGATCAAGGAGGTACGAGCGATCTCCATGACCAAGCCAATGCGGCGCTCAGCAACCCCATTCTGCTGAGGAGAGGCCGGAAGCGTGAAAGTCTGGCGGATGCCGTGCTCCGCACAGTAGGCTGCCAGGAGGTCAGAGGAGAACTCACCACCTCGGTCAGAGTGCAGACGCAGGACGGGAAAGTCCGACTGGAACCGGTCGCGGAGCTGGAGACGAGCAGCGCGGATCCAGGGGATCAAAACATCAGGGACCTCACCCTTGGTGCGCAAGGGGAAGACCGTGGTGTAGCGCGTGTAGTCGGCGACAACCAGCAGTAAGTACCGCTCGTGGCCCCGTCCACGGACGCGGGCTGGGCCCCACACGTCCAGGTGGAGAGTCTGCAGAGGAGCCTCTGTGGGAGGGAACGAGGAGGAGTGAGGAGCGGCGCGCTGCCGCCCCTCGACGCAGGGAAGACAGGGAGGAGCAGGCGAGGGTGGGAGGGGAGGGAGAACCCTGGGAAGACCAGAGACAAGGTACCGGGAGTGCATGCCACGAAGGCGCTGCACTGACGGGTGACCAAGACGGTGGTGCCAGAGAACGGTCTGGTGTGACAGGGAGCGACACGAGCAGGGGGCCGACAGCTGACCTGACGCAGACGCAGACGCAGCTACCTGAGGGGACTCAGTGGTCAGTGTGTACAGGTCCGACCCCGGCTGCCGAGTGAAGGTAGCTAGGTGGCGACCTGTCCTAGCACACGTACAGTGGGTCACACGCTCATAGGCAGGGGTGAACTGGTGAACACCCCCATCCTGAAGAGCAGAGCCCGCCACCAAGTTCGTAGAGAACGAGGGGAGGTAAAGGCCCGACAGGGTGCCGGACGGGACCGCAGGACAAGGGAGGACAGTGGAGGAGGTCGCAATGACCGGGCCCCCAGAGGGGTCAGCGAGAGAGACAGCAACCGGCCGAGCTAGCTGCTCAAGGGCAGTGCGGTCACGGAAGAAGCAGCGGGAAGCACCCGAGTCGAGTGTGAAGGTGTGCAGTGCCTCAGTGGACGCAGTACCAGCAAGCGCAGACGTACTAGCACCTGGGGGAGCAGACGCACTAGCACCAAGAGCAGCAGCCTCACCAGGACCTAGGGCAGCAGACGCACTGGCACCAAGAGCAGTAGCCTCACCAGGACCTAGGGGAGCAGACGCACTAGCACCTGGAGGAGCTGTCTCACTGGTCCCAATGCCAGGGTCTGGCGGTACACTCAGGTAACAGTCACCCTCAACACTAATAGTCAATGCATACATGGCACCAAGGATAGCATCAAAGTCAAGAGCAAAGATATCAATGTTCTTCCTAAGCAGGTCAGCCCAGCGGGGCAGCTCAGTGGCGTCAGGAAACTGCGCACGCCAGGCGTCGTCAAGACGAAAGAAGCAGCGCTGCTCCGTGTGGAACCTCCCACAGGTCTGGCCAGTGCGGTCACCTGTGCGGATGACGTACGGGCAGGTACCTCCCCCCCCAGACCCCCCACGCTGAGAGTACCACTCACGGAGTTGCTGGGGCGAGGGAGTCTGCTGCTGCTGCCTCTGGCCGCCGCCAAACCCCCCACGCTGCACCGCTCCACCACCGCCACCACTGCCTCCACCGCCCCCACCGCCCCCACCACCCCCACCACCGCCACCGCCACCACCCCCTGTGCCGCCACTGCCCCCCCCACCACCCGCGCCACTCCCACCCCCGCCACCACCCCCGCCCACCCCACCCCCTCCACTGCCGCCGCCCCCTCGTCCACCTCCACCACCCCTGCCCCCCTTGCCCCTGCCGCCCTTGCGTCTCCCACTGGGAGCAGACGCAGCCCCGACTCCCTCAGCTCCGAGGTAGCCGACAGCAGCAGCAGATGCAATGGAGGGGAGGAGGGGGGAGGGGGAGCACCCCTCAAAGAAGGGGGTGCGGGGGTCGCCATGAGAGGCACCTACAGCTACAATGCTTTTCTCAGCTGCTAGGAGGTCCTTCTCGAGGAGGTCGACAGTGAGGTCAGTGGGGGAGAGGGCAAGGAACTGGTCCCTGACACAGCGAAGGGAGTCAGGGAGGCGGGTGACAAGGTGGTACAGTGTGAGGTACATCGGGGGGGGGTTCTTGGCGAGGAAATCGGGGGGGAGAGCGGCACGGTAGCGGAGGTCACTGGTACGGAGGTGGGTGATGAGGTCAGCTACAGTGGCAAACGCGGACAGGTCCGGGAAGAGATAGGGCAGTGAGAGACGGCCTATAGCAGCAGTGGCAGGAGAGGAGTAGCGTGCGACTACTGCGTCGTACAGCTCCTGAGCTGTCTTATGCTGGCCGAAGTGCTCGCGCTCATCTAGCGGTAGGTGGCTGCGAACGGCTAGGCGAGCGTGAGCATCACGGGTCTGCCACTGGGAGCGGGCAGTGATGTCAGCAGTAGCAGGAGGTGCAGGAGCAGCGCCGGATGTGTGATCATAGAGGGACACATCATCCTTGGCAGTGATCTGAAGGAACAGGTGGAGGTCATCTAGCCAGACCTCAAACTTAATCGGGCGGCCCTCAGCGTCAAAGGTGAGAACAGAGGGAGTGGCCATAATGGCAGCAGTAGCAGCAGGAACAGTAGCAGTAGTACAGTAGGAACAGGAACAGGAGGAACTGCTGTGGGGCACAGTAGGGTGGCGCGGCTCGGTCAGGGCGGCGCGGTTCGGTCCGGGCGGCGCGGCTCGGCTCGGGCGGCGCGGCTCGGTTTGGGCGGCGCGGCTCGGTTCGGGCGGCGCGGCTCGGTTCGGGCGGCGCGGCTCGGCTCGGGCTGGGCTACGCGACTGTGCTCAGCGGGGGGGGGGGGGGGGGGCGCGTGCGTGGGCAGCAGTGGTGGGGGGGGGCCGTTTTCGTGCGTGGGCCTGTCTAGCGCGGGTGACGACCTAAAACGGGCCGGGGCGTCGCGGCGGCCTACGGGCGGCTGCGTCGTCCGGGGCAAGGGTCGACGGGCTGCTCACGGGCGGCGCAGGTCGCGTGGGCGGCTAGGGGTAGGCGCACGGGCGGCTAGGGGTCGGCGCACGGGCGGCTAGTGAGTCGCGCGCTAAAAAAAAAAAAAAAAAAAGGGCCGCGCGCGGCACTAGCGAGCTGCGCACGGGCAGCAGGAGGAAGAGAGGGGGCGCACGAGGGCGCTCTAGGAGACGGGCGCTCGAGGGCGCTCTAGGAGAAGGGCGCTCGAGGGCGCTTCGTGTGGTGGGCCCTTAGGTAAGTGGTCCTAGGACCAGGACCTAAGCTCGTAATACCATGTCAGAATGAAGAAGTGATTGAACTATGAAAGATGAGAGTACAAATATGAAACCCTAGAGTTGTGTACCCCCTAAAGGCTAACCCACTATAGCCTACACATCAATAACATATATGATAATGTTTGACACATGCAGTGTAATCCGCCACGTCAACCTTGTGCACCGAGTGTACCTCGCCCGACCACTGGAACACTGCGGGTAAGGGGGCGGGAGAAATCCAGGGGCATCGGAATGTGATAATGATTAGAAAAGGTATATACACCTCAATTGCACTACATTACTTTCTGCATCTAGCGCAAGTCACCCAACTGGAACATTGCAGGCAGAGGGGTTGGGTCGGTGGGAGGTATACTAGGGACAGAGGGAAGGGAAGGGAGTTATCGATGCAATTATTGGTCTACAAACTGCACTGCATTCTCTAGAAAATAATGAACGAGGGGCGAGCAGGATTATTGCGGGCAGCAAGGGAAAGGTATGCATGTGACATATGTATCATATGTCAGAGGGAAAAAGGGTATCATCAACCATATGTACCTTGGTGATATATAGGGGCAGAGAGTGAGTTCCATTACCCATGGACCTCGTGGTGTTACACTCTACAATGCAGCATCTTTGTTGCACCCCACTCTGCACCATCTGTACTGCACCCCACTCTGCACCATCTGAACCGCACCCCACCCTGCACCATCTGAACCGCACCCCACCCTTCACCATCTGTGGTGAGCCTCAGCCCTTAATCCTTAAAACCCAACCCTCAAAGTCGCAAGGACCAGAACTGCTCTGGAAGCACGGGCTGTGCTGTGTGGTGCTTCCACAGCAGGCATGGGGTGCCAGGGCACTGGCCCGGTGTGTTCCAGCGCAAAACGAAACTTTGTGATTTTTGTTTTTGGGTGGCTTCTGGGCCGACTTCGGCCGGATCAACGACCCGAAATGCTGGGTCACCCAAACAGGCTTGGGTTACCGGAACAGGCTTGGGTTACCGGAACAGGCTTGGGTTATCAGAACAGGCTTGGGTTACCAGAACAGGCTTGGGTTACCAGAACAGGCTTGGGTTACCAATACGGGCCCCAGTAACCAGAAGAAGTTGACAACTGCATCAGCAATGTGCAAGGTTAATCACCGCACAAGCACACAGTCCAGTGCCGGTGACGTTCTTCACTCGTGAACACCTACCAGGACACTGTGTGGAAAAATTATGCCCTTTCAGTTCTTGCAAACAAATACCCTTCCTGCCGCCATCACCGCCTCCCACCCTCTCGCAAACCACCATTGTCACTCGTTGCAGCTGGGCGGTGGCAGCAGCAGCAGCAGCAGCAGCACACCCAACACGCACAGGCGCGTACCTAGCAGGTCGCCAGGCAACACCTTGGGTGCCTTCCAGTCCTTCATTCCAAAGCCCCATGGGGACAACCACCTGCCGTTGTTGCCCCCCACCCACACCATTTTCTGCACGTGGGGAGGGAGGAGGCGCGGGACGGAGATAGGAGGGAGGGCGGGATGGGGAGGGAAGGAAGGACGGAGGGGAGAGGAGGGAGAGAGGGAGGGAGGGAGGGAGGGAGGGAGGGAGGGAGGGAGGGAGGGAGGGAGGGAGGGAGGACTAAGAGGGGAGACAACGGGTGTGAAGAAGAGAAGGGAAGCAGAACGAGCACATCTCGGCGCCGCCTGAGAACGAGCATGTCTCACTTATGAGATGAAGGGGAAGAGGGGAAGGGTGAGGGAGGGGGCCAGAAAAGGGTGAGGAGGCAGTCCTACCTGCGCCTCGGCGCCAGCTGAGGAGGAACGAGCGGCGAATGGCGGTGACCGTTGACGATCGTCGTCGGCGGAGAGCACGCGCGCGGAGGGGCGGACACCGGCGGGCAGCCGACGATGCGACGTCGGAGATTGCGGAGAGGAGATTCGAGAGGGCGTCGAGGGAGGGAGGGGAGGGGGTAATGGGGGAGAGGAAGGTGGGGGGCCCGGGGGTGAAGGGGTTGGGAGAGGAGAGGGAGAGAGGGAGAGAGAGAGGGAGAGAGAGAGAGGGAGAGGGAGAGGGAGAGAGAGAGAGAGAGAGAGAGAGAGAGAGAGAGAGAGAGAGAGAGAGAGAGAGAGAGAGAGAGGGAGAGAGAGAGGGAGAGAGAGAGGGAGAGAGAGAGGGAGAGAGAGAGGGAGAGAGAGAGGGAGAGAGAGAGGGAGAGAGAGAGGGAGAGAGAGAGGGAGAGAGAGAGGGAGAGAGAGAGGGAGAGAGAGAGGGAGGGAGAGAGAGAGAGAGAGAGAGAGAGAGAGAGAGAGAGAGAGAGAGAGAGAGAGAGAGAGAGAGAGAGAGAGAGAGAGAGGAGAGAGAGAGAGAGAGAGAGAGAGAGAGAGAGAGAGAGAGAGAGAGAGAGAGAGAGAGAGAGAGAGAGAGAGAGAGAGAGTGGTTGTGAGGATGGAAGAGACGAAAGGAAGGGGAGGAAGGGGGAGGGGGGGAAGAGGGTTGCGGGTGAGCAAAGTGGAAGATATGGGGGGGAAATGGGACTATCTGGGGAGGCGGCGGGAGGAGCCTTGCGAGTACAGGCGACGCGCGTGGTACGGTGTGTGGATGAAGTACATGCTGAGTTCGAAAACGTTAGGGCTGAGTTGGAAGGCGGTAAGGCTGAGTTTAAAAGCGGCGCGGCGGAGTTTCAGAGCGTGAGAAGGAGTAGGACGCGGTGTCGCCTCGCAAGGGAGAGCACATTGATAAATCAAAGACAGCGCGGGCTCTCCGATTGCACAAATGAGTGAAGGGCACGTACCGACGAGGATAACGAAGGCGGCGATGAGGAGCCGCAGATGATTGGTTGCGCGCACCATGATTAGGAACGCTTGGATGGTTTTTTACTGGGCTGGAAGGGAACTTGTTCGGGAGGATTGGGAAGTTGTCGGACGGAACGGAAAATGGGGAATATAGCGGGTTCTGTTGAGAAAAATGGGGCGCAGAATAAACTATGGCCTTGAAGGTGTAATTTACTGGGAGCTAGAGGTTTGAGATAGAAGACATGTTCTTGGGAGCAGTGGGTTTGGTTGTTGAAGTTTGGTCGGTGGGCGGTGCGAAGGGATGATGTGGGAGGTTCTCGTTGGACGTTGAAGAGGTGAAGGTAAAGGCAAAGCAGGCGCTGCTGCTGCTTCTGTGGGGCTGATTATTTTGAAGAGTTTGTTGCGTCATCCCTACCGCGCTCATAGACGTCTAAAACTAAATGAACCGTACAAAACACGAGCGTTTACCGAGCCACTTGAAGGCAGCTTTGAAGGGGTCATGCAAATTTTTGCTGGCGTGAAGCGAAAGGGCAGATGTGAATGAACGAGCTCCAGGAAAATGTCGGGCAGACACGGACCATGGTGGTTGGTTGAAACCAATTTTCCCGCTGCCTCTTGAGTGAAAATAAATCAGGGCTGACGAAAACCATACATTTCGCGCCGCCTATTCGCCCTTCGAGGCGGCAGTGGATGCCCAGAAAATTACAGGTACATTGCCTGCCAGTCTGTTCACGCATCTCCTCCCAAAAGTGTTTTGGGCGGAGTGGAAAGTTCTGCGCCGCCAGAAAAATGTCACATGGGGACAGGACACGTGAGCGGCTTGTAGTGAGCGCACTAAAATCGACTCCATACTACACATAATCTGTACATTATCCTTTCACTACACCAGCACGAAACTATCAATATATTTTCTAGGACGATCACCAATTCTTATTTCAGTGTAGCTAATTCAGATTTTCCTTTCTTTTGCACCTAGCTCCAACGCATACAGCCCTGCGCACTGGGCCTTGACACCTTTCAAGGTACTTCTGTTCATGATACGACATTATGTAGTCCGGTACCTTCTGATAGATTGACATGATGACGTGGTGTGATGGAATTAATGCACACGTACGTGAACATAACATCTACCTTACATGAATGGCAACTTTAACTCCATTTGCACAATCACTTCCCACGCTGCTTGAGAAGTGAAGGGTCCTCCCCTTGTCATTAGCTTTAACTTTGTACGTCCTCACGCCAACAGGGCGGGCAGGCGATATTTGTTTCGTGTTGAAGAAGCTGCAGAGGCCGTAGGTTATTGGGTCGCCAAACTTCTGCACATCATGGGTTTCTCCAAACCATCCGAACACTGCATGATGGTGGGAAGGAGATGATAGGAAGGAACAGACGTGGGCAGGTGCGGAGAACATGAAAACTTTCACAACCTGCGCAGCTCACCTACCACTTTAGCTGTTGTTGAAATACGCTGTACAAGCATGCGATTAAAGACGTAACTGCAACTCGTGGGTAGTGAACTTCAGAATCAGAATTGCAACTCGTGGATCCGACTGTTCTTACCGAGGAGGTCTCCTGGCTTCACAGCAGGCGGCGACCAGTCGCTAACCCCCAATCCCCACGGGCTGACTGCTTGGTTGGTCGACAACCCGCCTCCCACCATGACTGGTCGAGACTGAAAAAGGGATGGGCGATAGCGAGGGACGAAAGAAGACAACAAGTAAGTCGTGTGCTTGTGGGTGGCTCTATAACATTCTGGGAAGTACGTGGCATGGTCAAGACGCAGCGGATTACAGAGCGAGAGAAGGACAGTCGTGGGAGAAGAGGCTGAGAGGTGACATGGATTGGGACATCTGCTGAACGGTCCAGATCAATGCTGTCAATCGCCAGAACTAGTGGCCCGCTAACGCACTAATGCAATTAGAACGTATATAACGCCCGACTGACCCATTCTCGAAAAAGTGCAACCTTGCGGACTGACGTATTCGCGTCTTGCGGCCTGGCGGTCTGACCGCTGGTTTCCAGACGTGGTTACCGGGACGGCCGGAACGACCACTTTCGAGTCGACTTTTGTATGAACTGCAGAAGGTCAAGTCTCACCTGTGCGGGAACAACGCCTTCATGCAGGCAGGGGCGGCGTCGAGCACGAGAGGATCCGCGGTGGGAATGGGAGGCAGTGAGGTTTGCGGACGTGGGAACAGCGGGGGGGAGGGGGGTGGGGTGGAAAAGGAAACGTTTAGTCGTTATCGCGTTATTTCTTCCCAGACTGAAGGTTGTTTCACTAGCACAGGTACGACCTGCGCCAGTCATGCGACAGCATGCAGCCATACACTACAGGGATCGCGACGTTAGGCAGCACACTAGCGGTGTCTTCTGGCCGCTGTAGTTCTAAACACTCTGTGAGTTGGTTCCAGCACGGAAAAACCCAGTGCGAAATGAACGAGATGAAACAAACCAATTCTCGACAGCATACTCATGACGCATGTTTGGAACTCACTTGCACACACGACGGCGAGAAACAACGCAGTGAGAGGTGCGCGCAGGCTCCCGAGGCGCGTCGACCTCATGGTGGTTGCCGTTAGCACTACGCAGAGCCTCGGGATAGGAGGGGTCACTCAAAGGAGTCAGCGCCGTGGCTCGAGAAATTCAGCGAACTTGGTAATATGGTTCCGGTCCAGAGTATGCTTTGGACAATGATTGTGGACTGCTCAGACTAGTCGAGGCGAATTCTGTTGAAGTCGAAGTCTAGCTTGATGGGGCCTCAAAGCTTGAGGAGTCGAAAGGAGATGATTGATAAAATCAACCGCTGCGTCAGAGCTATGGACTACGACGTGACCCGATTGCTAGTAGCGGAATCAGTAGCTTGTGTTCTCGCAGCTAAGTACTATGTAAGACTTTGAGTGACAGTTGACAGTTCTTACTGAAGCTATTAGTGTCACTAAAGAAACCGCTGATGCCAACAGGTATTTCCCTGAAGTTTCCCTATCATTTATGTTGTTAGGAAGTATTAGCATGCTTCGGATCAGCTCGACCACACAAGGCTACACTCCAAGGCAGCAAGCAGGCGACCAAGGCTGACTCGTTTGCCATGGCGCTTTGCGGGATAGGTTCAATTTCTTGAAATTGAAGTTATAGACGAGGGAGGGTAAATGGTAAGGAGAAAGAAAGAAAACACCTAGAAAGAAAAGGTAAGATCAAAGTAAAACCAAGTTGAAAAGCAAAAACAAGTTGAAAGGAAATCTTGAAGTATGGAGTAATTAAGAATGAAGAAAGTTTTGAAGGAGAAGATAGATAGACTTGATAGGGATAAAAGGGACCAAACAAGATTGGCTTAAAAGAAAGTATTGAAGAAAAGGTAAAGGGCTTGAAAGATACTTGAAAGGAACTTGTAACGAACTTGAGAATAAGAACTTGATTATTATGGAAAGAGCTTGAATATAAAACAACTTGATAATAGCAAATGAACTTTGATGTAAAAGAAACTTGGTGAAAAATGAGAGGAAGGGATAACCACTTACTTGAAAAGAGTTCTTACTATTATGTTGTAGAAGTTGATCTTCACTTCAAGCTTAAATGTTGTCTTAGTTGTTAATGAAGAACCTCAAAGCTTGAATGTTGAGAAGTTGATCTTGAATGTTGACTTGTAGATAATGTTTGTTGAATGAAGAGAAACCTCCAAGCTTGGATGTTGAGGTTGGAGCTTGGACCTTGGGTAGAAGAATACACCAATCTTGCTTGAAGCTTTAAAGTACATTAATCAAAGGGAGGTACATGGTAGGATCTTGAGATCAACTATCCTTGATGATCTAGAAGTAAAACTATGTGGCACAAACTTCTCTAGAATTGGAGCATATGGCTATGAGCTTGGGTTGGGAGAGGTTGGTGGTGATGATGAAGCCTTAGGAGCTGGAGCATAAGGAGGAGGACTTGAGGTTGGCCTTGAGGGAGTTTGAAGAACTTGTTGAGAGTTTGGGTATGAAGTAGCATTGAAGAATATTTTTTTGAAGAAATGAAGAGGACCCTTTTGTATTTGGTGGAGCTTGATGTTGGATGGAGGATGAGGAAAGGATGAATGGTTGTGATTGGTTGAGTTGGATAAGATGGGGGTGATGAATGTGGCCTTGAAGTGAAGGCTTGGTGAAGAGAATGAATGTGGCCTTGAAGTTAAGGCTTGGTGAATGGGATGTATTTGGCTTTGATTTTAAGGCTTGGTGAGTGGAATGAATGTGGCTTGGATTGGAAGGCTTGGTATGGAATCTTTTGTTTGATTGGTGGATAATGGGATGAGAAAGATGATGAGGATAGGAGGAGAGTTGAGGTGGAGGATTGATAGGTTTTGATTGGTAGGTTTTTGCTGTCTGGAGATAGGAAGGGTGTGGTGGCGAGTGGGCATTTTTGCAAGATGCCTTTTGCATATTCGGATTTTGGCTGACGGGGAAATTGCGGCGAAAAATTTCGCCACGTGAAATATTTCCCGCCACCCTGGTGCCACGCGAGCAGCAGCCACAGTTCACTGCAACACCCCCCCGCACTGCTGACCCTCAGAGCGAGACGAAGGAGCGGAAGGGACAGCAGTGGAGAAGGACTCAAGAGACTCGAGCGGCACCAATCCAACACGGTGGCGTCCAAGGACGAATAGGTGCCGTGGAAGTATCTTAGTCAGAAAATCAGCAGCCTGGTCCGTGGTGCTGCAGTAGACCGGTGTCACAACCTTGTTCTTAATCAGCTCCCGAGTGTAGTGATACTGGGTATCAATATGCTTGGTGCGTCCATGATAGACCGGGTTCTTGCTCAAGGCGATTGCCGACGTGTTGTCAATGTGGAGAACGGTCGGCTCAAGCTGGGGAAGACCCAACTCCATCAGCAACCCTCGCAACCACACAGCCTCTCTTGCTCCTTGCGTCACAGCCATGTACTCCGCTTCCGTTGAAGATAGTGCCACACAGCCTTGCTTCTTCGATTGCCAAGAAATCGCTGCTCCCGCCATCACAAACATGTAGCCTCCCGTGGATTTACGCTTTGAAAATGGACCTGCCCAATCCGCATCCGTAAAGCCATGCAAGACACTACCATGCTCATGTCCATGAAAGAGGAGACCAAATGATTTAGAGCCGGAGAGATAGCGCAGGACACGCTTTGCAGCGTTCAAGTGCTGAGTAGATGGTGAGGAAAGGAATTGAGAAAGCATGCCCACAGCTTGAGAGAGATCGAGGCGGGTGCAGACGGATGCGTACATGAGGCTACCGACAATGCTCTGGTAAAGATTAATGTCGAGGGGGGAAAGGAGTGATGAGGGAGGTTTGGTGGAAGAAAAAATGGAAGAAGAGGATGAAGGCGCAAGAGCCTCGTGAAACTCGTCCCAGTCAGAAAGGGGTGCAGACTGAGAGGGCTGAAGGTCAGAAGTGGAAGGAGAAGAATGCTGGAAGTTAGAAGGGAGAGGTGTAGATGCAGGATTGCAGGTGAGAAGGCCGAAGCGAGAGAGGACCTTGTGAATGTATCGCTCTTGTGAAAGAAATAGAGAGCGAGAAGGACGGTCACGAATGATGTTCATGCCAAGGTAATATGATGGCTCACCCATGTCTGTCATGACAAACTCCTTGGTGAGCATACCTTTGATGTGGGTGAGAAGGGAGAGAGAACCTGACACCATGAGGATGTCATCCACATACACGATCAACCACAGTACCTCATGCACCTCCGTGTGCAGGATGTAGAGTGCAGGGTCATACTCAGACTGGGTGAAACCTTGTGCCAGCAGGGCAGACTCCAATGCGTGATACCAAACCCGTGGAGCTTGCTTCAGGCCATACAGGGACTTGTGCAGCCTGCAGACTCTCTTAGTACCATCATGATACCCATCAGGTTGAGCCATGTAGATTTCTTCCTCTAAAATGCCGTAAAGAAAGGCGTTGGAGACGTCTAGCTGGATGATGTAGAGATCCATTCGTACTGCCATACCAAGAAGAGCGCGGACACTGGTGAACTTGGCGACCGAAGCAAATGTTTCATTGTAGTCTTCTCCAGGAACTTGAGAATATCCTTTGGCGACCAAACGAGCCTTGAACTTGTCCAAAGATCCATCACCCTTCACCTTCACCCGGTAGACCCATTTTACTCCCACGAGCTTCTTTCCCTTGGGTAGTGGCTCCAAAGTCCAAGTCCCCCGGTCGAGTAAACTTTCCAGTTCTGCCTTTTCCGCTGCTAACCACTGCTCCTTAAAGGCTCCTGCCATAGCTTCTTTGCGATTGAGAGGCTCGGGTGGAAGTTGGGAAATGGCGAAACAGGTGGCGTGAATCCTGCATTGGAAGCAGGTGCGACCACTACACAAATGACTTGGAGGTGAGGTGAAAGTGGACACCGGCACATGAGAGGTGAAGTTCGCAGATGACGAAGTAGAAGATGAAGATGGTGCTGCAAAGTGCGACGTGCTCATCGCTGGTGGGTAGTTGATATCGATCCGGTTGGGTGAGGGAGGTGGTGCTACCGGTTGAGAATGGTCTTCTGATGAAGTTCTATCAGGCGGAGTTGTCGAATGCAGGTGTTGGAGATGGGAAGATGTGTGCTGTTGTGTTGGTGGTGGCTGCACGGTTGACGGTACGGGTTGAAGATGGTCTGGAAGGTGAAGAAGGGCTGCTGGACGATAACCACTGGGTCGATGAACGACGAGAGGTGGAAGTGATGGGTGAAGAGAGTGAGAGCCAGGAGGATATTGTTGTTGCTGCTGGTCCTGCTGGTGAGTGGGGGAAGATTGAAGAGGAGGAGGTAAATCGGGTGGAGATGGTTGTTGTTGCTGCTGAAGCGAATTAACTGGGGGCTGAGGAGGAGGATGAGAGGAAAGAACAAGTGGAGCGGTTGACTGGTTTGGTTGTGATGGAGGTGGTGGCGGCTGCTGCTGCTGTTGCTCTTGGTGATGAGGGGTGGGAGCAGAAGATGATGGCGGTGGTTGTTGGTCTTGAGCATGAGACATGTCTTCGTGTTGCTTCTGCAGTGATGATGCAGAAACTCCACTTAGAATGATTGTTGGAGGTTCGAAATCTGCAAAGGTAGAGAAGGGAGGAACTTGAGAGGAAACAAGAGGAAAAGAAAGTTTCCAAGAAGAAGGGGACATGTCTTCATA